TCGTTGGCTAGTTTCTACAGCAAACTTGAGGGCAATACCTTTTAAGTTTTGTCGGTCGGAGTGTTGGGAAAACTGCTGAGGAACCGAAGCTTCGCACTATCCACCGAAGAACAGCGATGTGGCCAAGGCATTAAGGCAAAACCCTAGAAAACGTTTAAAGTTACGAGCTCTTCGAAGGGGATTTGCTGTCGCTGCACTTTCATGTTGATACTGCGTCACGCAAGATAATGTGATGGTAAAGCACTTCGTTTTTTTTTTTGCATATTCCAAGAAATCGTAGTATGTATTTGTAGGACAAGCTGTGACTTCCGAAGTGTTTTGCAACATTTTGTTTGCTCTTGCATGCAAGATTCCTGTTCAGAATATAGTGATCTGTGCTCACCTTGGTCTCAATAGGCACCTTTTCAAAGTAACTTTCCGATCATTAGAAGGTCAGAACCACTGCACAGTGGCTGAACAACAGACATCGAGGAACGTGCAAGTCATTCCTAAAGATGGCTAACGAGGGAGCAAGCCAAACCCTAGAAGCCGACAATCCACTCAAACGGCGACGAAAGTGAAACGTCACTGCGCTCATCACCTTTTTAAGTGGGTGTGTTTTTGTTTTCTGATCCAACCAAACACATAAAGTGTGCCGTGACGTTGTGCTTTTAGTCCGCAATTGTGTATGGATTTCACAGCTGCCAACAGAAACACTCTTTCAAAAGGGGTTGAAAATTACAAAGAAACATTTGTACAACCACTGTCACCTGTATTCTTTTCCCAGCTGCAGTTCGGAACCGACATATTTTAAAGTAGTTTCTTTTTTTTTTCATCTGTACAAAAATGTTCTCAAAACTCAAAACTCAAACTCTTTATTTCTCTCCGTTTGGAGAGGGGAGACAGAGAAAAAAGCAACTCAGTTGCTGCTTGACGAGCCTCTGCCTCCCCGCAGCAGCGAAAGAGGACAGCATGTACATGCAAATGTTTTTTTCACCATCACACTTATAGCGCAAAAATAAACAGCATTAGATGGGGGAGGGGGGAAGGAGGAAAAGTAATCGATTTAGCCAAGTCTACAAATTCCAGGGGCACTCTCTCACAAACATGGAACGTATATTTTTTATGGTTTCATTCAAAACTTTTACATTCAACTCACTCAGGCGATTTAAAAAAACGAGGTACTATATATTTCAATGTCTGATTTCCGTAGTTCGTTCTGGAGTGCGGCACTAACCATGCGTCTGCAGACCTAGTTTCATAAGTAACCTCCCTCATCCTAAGGATGGAAATAGATAAGAATATATTTTCTTTTTGGCAAAAAGATCTTTTCAATGAAAGAAATAGTTTATAATAATACTGATTAGGAATCTGTACAGTATTCAATTTAATAAATAATGGACTAGTATGACTATTATACTCAGTATTACATATAATACGAACAGCCTTTTTTTGTAGAGTATGTATCAGTTTTATTCTCGTAGTGTTCGTATTCCCCCATACCAAGAAGCAATAATTATATTTTGAGTAGAAAAGGGAATTATATATAAGGAGCATAACCGAGATCGGGAGGATGTGGTGATATTTGTACATAATACCTACAACTCTTGATAATTTTTGACATGTCTGTTGTACAGTTTCGTCCCATGACATGCATTGATTAAATATAATTCCGAGAACTTTTACGCTTTCAACTATATCTATACAGTGTGTTCCAAGAGAAAGAATGGACGTATAGAAACAGTTTTTATTTCGTGATCTAAATAATACGGCTTTTGTCTTACTGCCATTTTTTTTAATGAATTTGAATTGGTTCAGGCATTTCACTTTTCCAAAAAAATATTTGCGGCACTTATAATCTGATCAGTATCATCACCTGAAAAGAATATACTGGTATCATCAGCGTAAATAATGAGACTCACATTTTGATCAATATTTACGATGTCATTTATGTATAGATTAAAAAGAAGTGGTCCCAAAACGCTCCCTTGCGGCACGCCGGCAGTCTGTTTCGTAAGATCCGATTGTTTTTTATTTATTTCAACACACTGGTACCGATAACTAAGATAACTTCTAATCATATCTAGAGCAACGCCACGAATGCCATAGATATGCAGCTTTTGAAGTAGCGTGTCGTGATTAATGCGGTCGAACGCCTTCGAAAAATCTATGAATACTCCGAGTGTTAATAACTTTTTTTCAATATTGTTTAAAATTAATTCCTTTTGTTTTAACAAGGCAAGTTCGGTAGAGAAACCCCCCATAAATCCATATTGACAGGGCGTTAAAATAGAAAACTTTTCGCAGAAACTATTCAGCCTGTGATGTATGATTTTTTCAAAAGCTTTTGAAAATATCGGCAAGACAGAAATCGGTTTATAATTTTCGAGGTTGTTTTTATCTCCAGCTTTATATAGCACAGATACCTTTGCTACTGCATCTCTTGCGGAAAATTTCCGTTCTCGATTGATAGATTAAAAATATATGTTAAACAAGGAACAATCTACCGCAAGACATGCTTGATAGGTTTAATTTGAAAATCATATATATCGAAGCTCTTACTATCTTTTAAGCTTTGGAAAACAGAAAATACTTCATGTTCGTCAGTTGAAAGCAGAAACATACTATGTGAAACCTTCTGGACATACCTAACGGCATCCTCACAGTGTACACTCTGGAAAAGTGTAGCAAAATGATCACTAAACTTTTTGGCCAAAGCAGCCCCTTTTACCACGATGCCTTCGAATTTTATTTCCGTTACGTTATCCGCATGCCACCCTTGTTTTATTAGCTCATTTACGTTTTTCCATACTACTTCGGATCTCTTGTCATATTTAAATAAATTATTGAAATACACGCGTTTAGCCTGCCTTAAAGTTTTTGTTAATTCATTTTTAAGTTTCTTAAATGCAACCAAGATGTTAATATCTTTAGTGTGCACGAATCTGTGGTACAGATTATTTTTCTTACTTATCATTTTTTTTATTTAGGGTGTAACCCAGGGTTTACGAGACTTTCGAGGAACCCTATGCAATTCATAAGGAAAGCAGCGGTCATATATCATTTTAAACCTTTCAAGAAAACAATTAAATGCTTCGACAGCAGACACGCTAGACAGCACCGCACTCCAGACTTCGGAACTTATCTGTTGTTCAAAAAGATCAAGGTTTTTAGCACTTATATTCCTAAAATAAATCTGATCACATATTTTTTTGGAGCTGTAGTCTACATTTGGAAGCATATATATTGGAAGGTGGTCACTAATAGTTTCCCCAACCACTCCAGCAATTACGTCTGTTAAGTAACGAAGGATTTTGTTAGAAATAAGTAAGATTTGTTTTAGAAAAGTCTATCTTTCTACAGTTGCGTCGGCATCGTTTTATTTTTTTTTTTAGCTTTCTTTGTGAGTGTCGGCGTTTTGGAGGGAGCATTTGCGGGGGCAGAGCGGCCGGGAGTGGGGAGCGGCTTCCCCGCGGTCGTTAAGAAACGTCTCGGGTTTCGGTAGTCTGCTCGGACAGATCCCTTCTCGCAGCTGGTTGTGGCTTTTAGCCGAATGTGCCTGTATATAGAGGGTTTCGCCGCTTAGTGTAAAATTGTCGCTTTTTGCCCGATGCAATAACTTAGCGGTTGGCGCCAGTCAGACTGGAAAAATTGCAGAGAACAACCCTACAAGGAATTTAGGTTCGGCGGTTACAGCGACAGGATGACAGCTCGCCGACCATTGGACGACAGTGTACCACGTGGGAGTGGTGAAATTTGAAGTGATTGGTCCATCTCTGGAGGGAAAGGAGGCATCTACGAGGCTAGAAAAGGGCTGCCGAGAGGGTTCTCGGGAATTCGGCTCTTGAGACTGGGGACTAAAGTACGGGGTTTTAATTTTGGAAGTTTTGTATATTACCGTTGACTTGTCGTTTTGTTTTCAAAATGAACGTGGCCACACTGGCCACCGTAAACCTACCAACGTCGTAATGTGTCCAGCGGGATCGAACAACTTTTAGTTTTTTCTTCTTATTCGACTTCCCGGGGGGATACCATCGGGCGAACACCATCATCGGTCGTCACCATCTTGACCGGGCCCCTTCCCCCTCGGAAAGTTGACTGGCGCAGTCGACAGGGTCCTGCTGACTTCCTGCGACGGGCGGTGAGCGAAAACGACGGCATCAACGGAGGCAGGCGGAGCGTACCTGGGCTCTATGCGACAAGTGTTTCGTCTGCTGGATTGCGGACAAAGGTCGCGTCTGCTGGACTGCAGACAAGGGTCCCGTCTGCTGGACTGCTGACAAGGGTCGCTCCTGCCGGAGTGAGGACCGTGGCAATATCTACGTGAGAAGCCCGGGGGGGTACAGTTACCCAAAGAAGTCGTCTGCTGGACTGCGGACAAGGCTCGCTCCTGCCGGAGTGAGGACCGCGGCAATATCTACACGAGGAGCCCGGGGGGGTACAGTTACCCAAAAGGAGTGGTGGCAGCTGATAGGCGGTCCTGGGCGTCATTTACGTCGGAGAACAGGAGGACCTGTGGCTTCACCTGCGGACCGGCGAAGCATCTTCAGCGAGCGGCGACAGAATATCGGGGCAAGCCTCAAGAGAAGAGACGAGATCGTCGCTGCAGTGCTGAACTTCGTTGTGGTGCCGGAAAATTGTGCGTTTTTTTTTTTTGTGCGTGAGGTTTTTTTTCTTTTCGGTGAACGAAGAAGGAGCTGAGACTTCCAGACGACGGGCATGATCGCCAGGCCGAGTGGGGACACTGCGGCAAGTGGGCGGCGGCGACTGGAGGAGCAGCTAATTGGATTTTGCGAGGCAACAGTGGGTGAGTCCCATTCCCGTTTTCTCCGAGGCTCACCATGACCAGAGAGACTAGATCGAAGACCCCAGGGTCTTCCCTCAGTGGCGCCAACTCAGAACCAGACACTGGCACCAGTGAGGGAGGGTAGCCAACAGATTCGAATGACCTTAATGCTGAGATAACACTCATGAGACTAAAGATAGAACTCGAGAAAATAAAACTAGAGCAGCTCAAAATAATGGGGCAGCCTCATGAAGAGAACACTCGGGGTACGGGGGGAGTCGGACGGTATGCAAAGGAGCTACGTGCGGTGCTGGCGCCAATGCCCCAGACGGACACATTGGTACCTGCATGGTTTAAAGGCGCTGAAACAATGTTGGCGAGTTGTGAGGTTTCACAGGACCTACACGGGGCAATCATCCTACCTTTTCTAAACGAGAAAGCGAGCGCCGTTGTGGCAAACAGAGCAGAGGGACGGGTATTGCAGTACAAGGAGCTACGAGACATTATCCTCGACGAGCTCAGGATGACTCCGGATGAGTATAAGCGAAGGTTTCGTGTCGCACACATACAAGAGGAGGAGTCGTGGTCACAGTTCTCTACCGATCTGACTACCATGTTCGGCTACTACATGGAGAGCCGCGAAGTAGAGACACTAGATGATCTAAGGCAGCTGATCATTTCAGATCGGCTAAAGCATGTCATGCCGGATGATGTCCGGGCCTACGTACTTCAGAATGAAACCAAAGAATGGCTAAGGCCAAAGGAAGTAGCACAACTTGCTGAGAAATTCGAAGAGAGTCAGCACGATCGAAACTGGGAGCCCCAGAGGGCGGCCGAGGGGCCACAGGTGAACATGCGGGGTGGGCCTGCGGAAGTTGGGGGCGACCAGCGAAGGGTTGAGAAACCTCGACCGCAAGGGTGCTTTTCGTGTGGGAGGCTGGGAGGGAGCGCTCCTCCAAGCCCCATAGAGAATACACGCGATTTTCTGTCATTTTACGAAAATTCTCACTTAATAACCGTTACTCCGATTTTTTCAAACTTTTTTGCTATAAAAAGATTGATTCTTCGTCCAACTATCCCTCCGAGCCTATTTTTCATGAAAAAAGTATTATATTTTATATTAAATCGTGAAATCGGTCGGAATCGGCTGTTTTGACATGTTTACGTTAGAACGGGTTTTTAAAAACCTGTGAATTTTTAACTACAAATGTGTCTGGTGGAATATCTGCGGAATTTAACACGAAATTCAATTATATTAGAATTATAGCTGTAAGTACATCCGTTCTGTAACTACATCGAAAAAACTGAACCAAGGTGTTGTGGCTTGTTTTCCTCGTTTGGACGGTCAGGACTAGTTCGACGAGCGCCGCGTGAGGGCGCCACCGTTCCGCCACGCACGCTGCTCTGATTTTGAATTACTCCGCGCGCATGCGCTCTTCAGTAACGCGCTTGGGGTGGTGCAGAGACGGCAAGACCCGTCCAGACAGAGTGGTTTTGTTTTTCGGGGTGGAGTTGTCAGGCGGATAGCTCTGCGTGTTTTCATGCTTAGAAAGGCCGTTCTCGCAGCTATGGGTCCAAAGAGGAATAAATATGGCAAGCGAAAGGTCTCGAAGGTCACAAATAGAGTTTGCACGTAAGCGACCCTCTGCTGAAACTACGGATGGTGAGGTTTCAGGTGAGGTTGAGTCATCGTGTCGTAGCGCTGCGAGAAGGAATTGACTCGGGGTGTTGAAGATGCCGCTTGGGAAGCCATGCAACAGGCCGGAGTGTGGAAGAAGCGAGGCGCGCGAAGGAATCTGGCGAGATCGACGCCGAAGGCTATCCGCTTGTGACCGTCGTTGCAGACTGTGCATGGTGAAAGCGATCGTGCAGGAACAAGAACGACGCTCCTTCTAACACCCCCCCCCCCCCCCCCCCCCCCCCCCATGGTAAGTACCACATTTCTTCCTCTAAATGGGGTGCGAATTTCGATTATATAATATAAATTTCTTTCGAGCGCGTTAGGAAGAAATTCGAAGCATGTTTTTCTTGCCGCGAAAATACATTATATATTGTCGAACGCTTAGTGTCTGTCGCTAGGCTGCATTTGGGCGGAGGCTGAGCATTTGGCAATGCGTAGTTTCTCAGTTTTATGGGGAGATGACCGTGGTTAGAATCCCTCTCTGTTGTATGTGTATTTCTGTGAATGCAAGATTTGTTTCGGCAAGGGTCCGTCGATTTCTCACGAAGCACTGGAAACGGTAATGCTTTTTGTGTGCCTGTTTTAGTGACCGCTGTTTTACGTACTATACATTCCGAATATACGCGGTGACATGCAACCAGTTTGTTAGACGACGTTTTAGACAGCTCGTTTCTTCGAAGCTGCACTTTTTCAACGATAAATCGTTCCATTGGAAATAGCCGGCGTTCGTTTATTCGATACACCTTGTGACGTTTCGTCTAGTTTTTCCATTATGTGCGTGCATGCACATGCGTGTTTGCCTGCCTACGCGTGAGTATATATACTCGCGTGTCTGAGTGCGTGTTATTATATGTGCCTGTGCGTGCGTGTTTGCACGCGTGGGCGTTTACCTGCTCATAAGTGCGCGTGCCTGTGCGAGTGCGCGCGTGCATGCGCGTGTGTAATTCGTGCGTGTGTGTGCGCGGGTGTGCTTGTGCGTGCGTACGTGAATTTGCATCCGTGCATGCGCGTGCATCCGCGTACCTGTGTTCGCGCATGCGTATGAGTGCCTAATTCGTGCGTGCTTGAGTGGGCGCGTGCATACTTGGGCGTACGTGCGCCCAAGTACGCACGTTGTCGGACTTTGCGGGAAAGGTTCGAGAAAGTCGAACCTGGTCGAACTCGAACGTCGGCTGGTTCGCGACACCTTTAGTACTCACGTTGCGGACGGTTGGTGATTGGCCGCTGATAACTTCACCGTGACTTTTTGCTTTATGTTTAGCGGCAATTTTTTATATTTTTATTCGTGCGATTGTAATTTTTTGCGATTAAACTCTCTGTACCCTTTCTTTGTGACGTATGAAACGATCTCGAACGCCTCGAACAGCAGCGACGCTTGCGTTCGTTCTCGGGGCTAGTAGGCAAGGAGGCTAGAAGTATTTATATGGCGTCAGACTGCCTTTTGATGTCGAGTCACAACACAAAAGTATGGCCACCGAAGGCAAACGCAGTTATCCCATTGGCGAGTTTGCGTTGTCTTTTATTTTTCACAACTCTCGCGAATCAAAGTTTTGCTTTATCGTTTGGCGGTCATGTTTGTGGGCGATGACTCAGCTCGTGAATAGACCCTAAAACCGTTCATGGAGTTTTTCTCTGCTTTTATTTTTTAGATTCAACGATTCTGCTGCAGTGTGGAACGAACTACACGAAAGTGCTCAACCTTCTTATAAGTCTTCCGAGGAGCAGAACGTGTGGGGATCAGGACTATTGGAATATATGTTGTCAAGTGATGAAAAACTGCCCGGTCGCCAATCATTACAAATTGTCTATGAAATACGATAAGAAACAATCAGTGCCGTGAGAAATCGTATAAAATTACTTTGTTGTGCAGAGTTTGCGACCAGTTGTGATGAAGTAACGAAGTTATATGCCGGTAGTTTGTCATATATGTATTCGATTATGTATTTATTTTTAAAGTACCTAACATACCGTGTTTTTACTTAACTGGAACGCGTTTTTATTTCAAAAGAGGGGGAGGCATTTACCTTAGTACCGTATTCACTGTGTCTTTAGGGGGCTCGGCGAACATTACATGGAAGATCACTAGCTGGGTGGGTAAATAATTAAAATCTGTTAATCAAGTTTCCCACGAGCGTGTTTATAGCTCGTGTTGCAATTATATATTTAAAGTCATTAGAGGGTAAATAAATTTGGACGTATGGCTAAAACCCAAAAGGATTTTAGGTATCTAGGTTTTCAGTTTTCTATGGGCAATACATAATTGGCTCGTTTGGCCACGGGAATCGCAGTACCGCTCTTTCTACATATTTGAATAAAGCAATCACTCGCTAACACATCGTACAAAATAAATAGCGTGTTAATTGCAAACACAATGTTTATATTGAAAAATATTATTCCGGAGCGCCTCTCGCGGCACAGATTATTTGATAGTGTTTTATCAATGTCATTTATGTAATACAGTATCGTGAGAAATATATTGTGTAATTAAAAAAAATTATTTATTTTCTATTTACAGTGCTACTGCCGAACTCTCCACGCCAGTAAGGACGATTTTGAAGTAATGTCTTGTGATTGTCTTTGTCGCCTCGTGTCCCGTAGATTCAAATAAAGACTTGACAAGTCTTTATTTGAATCTACGGTCTGTGCATTCAACCAGTGCAGTTTCGCCTATTTTGCTCGAGTTATTAAATTTTGCATTTGTTTTAATTTTCTTCCCTTTAGTTGTTGTGTCTCTGCGGCGCTTTTTTTTACTCACATGAACACATATACAGGGTGATCCTCGAATCAGCCGGGATCCCTTCAACCGCCGCCGCGGACCACAGTTTGAGAACCGCTGGACTAAGATGTGCTAAATATCTCGAGTTAATTCCGTGATTCGCCATGTTGCAACTGCTGTTTTAGAGACAATATGGGCGGCTTTATCTCGGCAGTGTGCTTTGAAACGTATTTAAATTTATCCTACTCGGAATTCGTATTATCGTTTGGAAGAGCAAGACTGATCAATTTTTACGACTCGTTATAGCATGAATGAACTGGCTTAGAAATAGTTAATGAACAGTGAGAGCGTCTCGTGAATTTGACTATGGGGAGGAGATCGAAATATTGGGCAGGAGATCGAACTATAAGGAGTATTCACTGGACGCCATATTTGTTTGGGCTGTCTAGAGCGCATGCTCAGAACGAGCCCATATCAATAGGTTGCTAAGACCGGCAATCTTAATGGTGTGGAATGCACGTTCCAAAAAGCTCACCATCAGCACGCGCTCAGCAGTCGCGCACACAGCTATGGCCGCCAGTGAATACTTCCTATATACCTTTCCAATGTTTACAAAATCACAGTCCAGCGTGCGATCTTCACAGCCCAGCACGTGCGTGCTCATCGCTTCGGAGAGCGAGCAAAGCACGCGCCATACGCACGAACACTCAAAATGGCACCGGCCACAAGCTCTTTTTTGGAAAGGTCTTGTCCCCACAGGCCGATGTTTACTAACACAGGACAACAACGCTATTGAAGCTCGCCTAGCACGGGCTGTGCACGAGCGCTTCGTTCTGACCAGTGCTTTGGTCGAGCGAGGAAAGGCCTCCGAATCGTCATCTTTGATATCTTTGATCAAAAAACAAACAAGAAAATTCGGTTTGTCCCCACAGCTGAAGCGTATCGCTAGAGGCGTGACTGTTCGAACTCTTCTCCAATAGGGGCCGCTTTGTCTAGATTCTTGCCCACACAGTTGGGTGTTTATTTTGAGAGCATACACGCTGGTTAATTTCTATATAATTTAAAAACGACCACCACTTTAGGCGGTCTGGTTACGAGCGCGTTGCTCCGACCATTGCTTTGTTCGCACGAGGTATAGCACAAGTTCGTGCGTCTCATATACACCGAATCGTTCTTTTAGATTTCCTTCGAAAAATACACAAGCAGTTTACATTTGTCCATACACGGTCCGCGTGTGTGGACAACAAATATGGCTTCGATCGGCGCTCTGGGTGCGCGAGCTCCCGCAGCCTTGACTGCATTGCTAACAAAAGCTGTCCCCGATTTAAAAATTCTGTCACTTGCACGTGACGTCACACCGCGATGCACCGGAGAGTCTGCCAAACAATAGGGAGTTCTAGTAGACCGCGTCCGTCGTCCCGCTAAGCTTACCGAAGCTTACCGCGTGCCGTTAGCCTTGGATGCAGAATTTCGGGTCTCGTTTTGGTCGCGGTTCCGGTCGCGGTAAGCGTAGCGGACGCGGTCTACTACAACTCCCTATTATCTGTGGTCTCTTCGGTCAGCCGCTCAGTTCCTGCGCGGTTTGATTAGGGAGTTGTAGTAGACCGTGTCTGCTATCCCGCTAAGTTTACGGCGACCGGAAACGAGGCCCGAAGTTCTGCAGCCAAGGCTAGCGGCGCGCGCTCGTTTCCGGTTATGGTTAGCGTCACTACATGTTATGGTAAGCTTCCGTAAGCTTAGCGTGACGGCGGACGCTGTCTTCTGCAACGTTTCTTATACTCGGTGTCGGAAAAAAAAACGATATTTTTGGGCGGAACGAAAACGTAATCGAAACGTTATTTATTATTTTGTTCCGGAGTGAAACCGAAAAAATGTTCTTATCGGTTTTCGGTTCAAGGGGAAAGTTTAGGGCCGGCTTGCTAGAACCAGCGTCTCATATAAGACTGCCTTATCCGAGACAAAAAAGCGCTGCTAAAGCTTATGCACGAGCGGAGTGGCACGTGAAGTCTAGTCTCAAACGTCGGCGCGCCCCAGGCTTGGCAGTGCTTTCTTCGTCTAAAATAAAACAGTCTTGTTCGAGGCGCTGCTTCTAGCAAGCCGACCCAGGTATTTCAGTATTCGTTTCACGCAGTGAAGCAAGGAACTGCCGTTGGGTTGCTGCCATAATTGAAGAGAAGACAATCAATCCTTCGCCCCTGCCTCGAAGCTAAGCGAACAAGCAGAGCAAAAATACTAAGACAAAAAATGTGCTCACATTTTGGAAAGAGCGAAAGGAACGACAACCGGACGCTTTGAAGCAGATGTGCATGGGCGCGACCATAATTGACCTTCATTTTCTCTTTCCTTTTATTCGGGTACCTTCGCTCCACTACTTTATTTATTTATTTATTTGCATACCAACATCGCCTGAAGAGGCATTATAGTAGGGAGGGGCACATACATAAAATGTGTACAATAGTTCTAGGCTGTATAAACACACACACAACCCAATTTGTTTACAAACACATGGTGAAACAATTATTCAAGAAGTAATGCACAAAGGTAGATAGAAGAAACATTGAATCTTTTGAAATAACAGCCCTGACAATGCCGTTTCAACAATGTCACTTGGCAGGTTATTCCAATCCCCAATGGACGGCGGGAAAAAAGAGCATTTGAAAACATCAGTTCTGCTGAGTAATGTACGAATTTTTCTCTAATTATCTCTTCTTTCTGATACATAGGCAGGCTCAGAAATATACGCGGGCCTACTAATTGCGCTATTGTTGTAAAACACTTTATGTAACATTTTGAGACGGAACAATTTCCGTCGTTGACTCAGAGGCATCCAATTTATAGACGATTTAAGTTCAGTTATGCTAGCTCTAAGATCATAATTACCGGTAACAAATCTCGCAGCACGATTCGCAGCACCTTTTCAATTTGGCAGACCGCACATGAGAAAAATATAATGTCTCCTTCAAAGATGGGGGAGCCATCCTAAAATTACGCGTAACTAACATTGGCTCATGTGACTGTGGTAACACGAGGAGACAATGCTTTTCTAGACACCACGCTGTTCCTTTCACCGACGCAGGCTTTGTTTTGACTCATCATCGCTAGTTTCTGTGGCCCGGCCCAGAGCCGTTTATACTGAGAGAGTTTGGCCTTCTTAAGGAGATTTTGGCAGTCTGACAACCACAGCAGCGTAGTCTGACAACCGGGGGATGACTACTTCCGTCCGCCATATTGTGGATCTGACTCATAGGAACTCTACGCGATTTCACAGGAATGAACAAGACAAAGAAGTAACGCCATATTGTGTTATCGCGAAATCCGCTGGTTCTAGCGGCCAACAAGCTCCGCCCATCGGCCAAACTCTCTCAGTATAAACGGCTCTGGCCCGGCCTCTTGGCAAGACACGTGGTCAGTTATGGCGGCTCTAATTTACGCGTGAGCAAAGCGTCTATACTTCAACTCAAGTAGCCCTAGGTGTGCCAGCCACACAGGCCAGCGTGGAGCGGGCGTTCTAGGCGCTGAAATTTATTTTATCGTGCCTGAGGTCTCGCATTTCACCGAGCACACTTGATGACGTGCTGCTTCTGAGTTCATGCTCAGTGCCTTGATCATGATATTGTCGCAAAGTTTTGCTCGCGCGAGAGTCTCGCTTTACTTTGGTTTTACCTTCTTGGGGTTCCGCTCGTCTTTACGGCACGGCTCATGGCCTCTGGCGAGGTCGGGGGACCCCAGATGGAGGCGAACGTGAACGCAAGCTGTAACGCTACACTTTGTTTACAGAACCCCGCGTTGGAAATGTTTTGTCTTGTGTATGTTTGCTTTTGGGATCTCTACTTCGGAGGTAATTATGCTCTGTGTATGTATAACTTCTCTGCCTACGAATGTGCTTTCTGTTGTTTATGGCTGCTCTTGTGAGCTTCGTTTGGAATGTGTTCTGTCTCGTGTATGCGCTTGTTTTTGGAGCGTTCGTATTTCCTTTGGACTCCGAGCCTTTTGATTGGGGCTAAGACAAGAACTCTTGATTGGTCATTACAAAACTTTCCGATTGGTGGACTGAAGGGCTCCAGAATGCTGCTGAATCCTATATAAGCGGCCACCGAAGCGCGACTTGGCTCCCGGACACCATGCCGTGAAGATCATCCTGCCTCTGGTGAGAAACCTGCACGCCTGACCCCTCTTCGGCTGTGGGGTCGTCCGCCCGCTAACTCGAAGACTTCGGAACCCTCACGGCTGTGGACTCGCCCGCCTTTGTCTGGATCCTCGTTTGTCGAGTTTGACTGTGGTCGGGGCCCCTCCTGAGGGTCGAGGAGGACGGCAGGGGAAGTCGCCAGAGGTTAGCATTATCCAAAAGCAAAAGAGTATCTCATATTCCCTAAATAAGCCGTTATTTGTTAACATCAGAAATCGTTCATTAACGGAGAAAAGAGGACTCCTCTTTTCTTCGTTACAATATCATGCTCAAGGCAATGAACATGATTTCAGAAGCAGTGTTCGATTACGCGGATTCCTCCAGAGCTCTTCGATTATCTATTTTTGTGTATAAGTAAATGTTACGTTCCTTTTCAATTTTGTTCGAATTTTTTTTTTTTTTCTTCGTGGAAACAAAAAATATGACGAATCGTTACGGACCATTATTTGTTTCGTTCCGGCGCAGAAACGGAACGGAACTTTTGTGTGTGGAATGCAAATAAAACCGTAACGAAAAGCATTTCGTCCCAACACCCTGCTTTTACTTCATATGTTGTTTAAAGTCATATTATCAAAAGTCGTCTAAATCAATTTTACCATCCTTTCCGAGCGAGCGCTGCGGCTTTGCGGTAGTTATTAGTAC